ATAAAACTAAAAGATGTAGATTATGTGGAAGGGATGGCTTCATAAATTATAAAATTAAAATCTATATCTAAGAAAACTATATTAAGTTTTATAGCCTAAAAAGGAATCAACTTGGGGGAAAATGGATACTCCATATTAAGTTTCATAGCCTAAAAAGGGAATATACTTGGGGGGAAATGGATACTCAATTTATGTTACTTGTCAAAAGTCATGGCCTATGTATTGGCAAACTCTATAGCACATATAAGATGATTGAACTTGATGGGGTAGGCTAGCCATTACATCACTTGAATCTTAAAGGATAAAAAAATAATGGAGGGGAGTGCAGAAGAGGCCTCAGTGAAGTGACTTGCTTAAATTTGTATAAATAAGTGTATGAAGCCCATGGTAAAGGTAGAACTTATTTAATGCACAGAAAGTTTAACCTAGTAGTCAGACAGATGGCTAAACTTTCATTATTTTTTTTTTATTTATTTTTTTTTTTGAAATGTTGCAATTTTAAAATAATACAAAAAGAAGGCATTTAAATAACATTTCATGCTTTTCAGCTTTTGTGCGTCTAAATGATAAATCACTGAGTGCGTAAACAAGTCAAAAGTTGTTATAATTTTATTATTTATTCCCTTTTAATTGCATTATCAAAATGTAAAACTTTACATGAACAGTTTTTTTACATCACACATACATGTTACAAGGAAATACATATTCAGGAGCTGTGACCAAGTATATAGCCAATGCTTTCTATTTCTGACATTATGAAAGTGCTTTTACTGAAGATTGTTTTTATACACACTGAAAACTGCCGGCGTAGTAGTTTAGAACATTAAAAGGTATGCAAGTTTATATCTCCAGTTCTGCAGTTTTGAATATGTTCTAATTGATACAGAAAATTTCATTCAAATGCTCACAAATTCAAAACAATTTTATGAAGAGCAGTGCACTCCAGTTATCCCATTGCTTATCTGGAAGTAAACTACATATTTTCTACAAAAATAGATCATTTGAATAAAATCACATCGACCTTGACCTTTGACTAAAGCAGGCTGTCACCACATTTCATGATTGTGTTCTTGACATAAAAAATCTTATTAAAAAATATTAACAAAGGTCATTGTGACCCATCACCATGACCTTTTGACCCAAAATGAGTATCATGGCAGGTACATCTCATCATAATTAAATCTGGTACGTACGATTTGTAAAAGTCTGAAGTTCCTCAGTAAATGCTGATTTAATGGCTAGTTTTATGGTTATCACAAATCCCAGTGACTTTTACCTTTTGACCTGAAAATGAGGGATGCAGGTTAAACTCATCAATGTTCATCCACATATAAAGTTTTGATGTAATAGATTTGTAAGTATTGAAAGTTTATGTCTATAATAAAAATTAACAACACCAACAGGTCAGTCATGATAGTAACATTCCTTTTTGTGGTCTTCTACAAAAAGTGGAGCTGATAATCTTACTGAAAAATAATACTAGGAAGTGTTAATTGTGATCTTAATTCATACAATTTTGGCCGCCTTGCTACTCGTCATTATTTTTCCATAATGGGCGAGTGAATGAGCGCACGTGCAGAATGACGTTATCAACTCTCAGTGACTTTCAAGATGGCTGCTGACGTTGAATGAACTCTAGTCACTTGCGCACAAATTTTTTTAAAGTTAAAACGACATAATTTATCACAATCAGGAAAGCGTATTATTGAAGATTTATAAACTTAAGACAATACATGACCCTCAGAAACTCCAAAATGATTTTAGATTGACTGTACAAAAAGGTCGGATCGTTCGTTTTTACTGTAGACCTAGACAGTCTCAGAAACCGTTCTTGAACTTGAAGGCACAAAACTTCATAAAAATAACTGGCACTAGATCTAAATGTAATTCTCACAAAAATGTGATTCCGTATTATTCGATAAAAACAACAATAAAACAAAATTTTCTTATATTTATTTTGTGTTGTGTCGTTTTCTAAGTTAATCGGAGTGTTACAGTTTGACAGATATCTGTTTACATTGACAACTGTCCGTTTCTTAGAAAGGGCGACAACCAAGATAAGCGGCGATGTCTAAACGCCGTATTTCGGACATAGGTATTAAATACGTTAATACTTGGTTGCTGCTCGCCATTATGCGATAATGGCCCTCGAGCTGATAATGTCCTTTGGGCCTGCGGCCCTCAGGCCATTATGCACATCTTCAGGCCATTATCGCATAATGGCGAACAGCAACAAAGTATTAACCTCTAAATAAAAGTTTGTCTGCTGCAAATTTTTCCTGTTTGAATATTCAGCTGCCTATTTATTAAAATCCTACGTAGGACTTTAAAACTCCTAATTAGGTTTTTTTATTTCCTACGTAGGAGTTATAAAGTCCTACGTAGGAGTTATAAACTCCTAATTAGGCTTTTTTAACTCCTATATAGGAGTTATAAAGTCCTACGTAGGAGTTTGTAGGTCCTACGTATGACTTTAAACTCCTAATTAGGTTTTTATATCTCCTACGTAGGAGTTATAAAGTCCTACGTAGGACTAATAAAGTTCTACGTAGGACTTACAAAGTCCAACGTAGGAGTTATAAACTCCTAATTAGGCTTTTTTATTTCTACGTAGGAGTTATAAAGTCTTACGTAGGAGTTACAAAGTCCTACATAGGAGTTATCTTTTTTTTACGGAACATGTTAAATTGGCACCAACACGCTTCCGTAGGTAACATTGGTCGAACTCAAATTGCTGCAAATTGTGAAGTTCTGGAGTTTCGAATTAAACATTTTTCCATTGAATGTTTATTTTGATGTCATTGCGCATAAAATATTTGTGCTTTACTATAGTGAAAGTCCTTAAAACCAAATGATTAAAATAGATATATTTTACAAGTTGTAATGACGATATTTTTTAAACATCGGCGATTCTCGTGCACAACCATCAGCTGTCTTAAGTAAAGGCTTAAAATATCACAAGTAGATACTTTCAAACATAATTGACATTATCAAAAGCTGAAGTGTTAATCAAGTGGCTGATGTTATAAATGCCATAATATTAACAGTAATTATCTAACCTCATTCACATCTTTCATATCTTTTGTACGAGGAAAATACTATTGATAGACATGTAAAAGATAAAATATTCATTTTTTGTCCTTATATTGTTGCAAAAAAAAAACTTGCCGAGGTCTGTTGATAACTTCATGCCTTCTTATATGATTTAATGTTTGAATTGTCATGGAAGTGAATATACTGCAAAAAAGTGAAAACCCCTAAGCCTTTACTTCTTTACTACCCGAGCCCTCTACCCACTACCACCACTAACACCCCTCACTACGGTCTTAAATACACATTTTCATATAGTTTAGTTAACATAAGTACTCGAGATTGAATTTCAAAGTGTTCATCATGCCAAAAACTTTTTTTCTCATAGTTTTATTTAATAGTAGGATACCTTTTCACCAAGGAAGTTATATGCTACTGTTTACATACAGATATATAGCCAGGATGATTTTTTTAACGTGTAAATGGTGAGTGCACAGGTACAAAAGTCATTTTTTTTTATAAATTTGCTCAATTCCTTATTTGCCTATGCAAAAAAAAATCAATAATCTGCATGGCCAGCTTGTATTTCTATAAATGTCTTTCGGACTTTATCGGTAACGTTTATGTTTTAAAACAGACGTGCGGTCTTCTTTATAATTAAGATAGCTGTAATATTCGATCCTAAACTGTTTTCATTATCAATTATGTGTCCCATCACAACTGTAATAGTCATGAAATACATGACTTATTGAACTCAATTTGACAAAAATGCCCTTAAAGTCACTTTAACCATATAATGAAATAAAAAGAAAAAAACTCGAAACAATAATGCTTTATAATGGCATTTAATTTTACCCATGAAATATGGTGCTATATCAGTAAAATATATTTCATATTTTTTAAAAATAAATATGAAATATAAATATGAAAGTGGGCGGGGTCAAAACTCTTGTTTATTTGAAGGGACTTCTTTCGCCATTTTGTTTGAAAATTTGATAAAGACAAAACATTTTTTGTTGAGTTTTGTTTTGAAAATAGAATGATATAAAATGGTCTAACTAAGACAATAAATCCGAACGCCAATATCTTTAATTCAATCATTAACGCTGTACAGACGTTTAAAAGCGTTGTTTACGTGACGTCACAATGTAGCGCCAAATATAGCGTGCAAAACAAGACGCATCTATAAATAATATATTACTGCGCGCTGTACAATTGCAGCAAGCAAGGGTGTTCTTAACCATTAATGAAACTAAATAAAAAGGTTATTTTTTCGTTTCTCGTGTAAAATGATATATATTTCCACTCAACATGATAAAATGCCACATATTTTCACTCGCCATGGCATTTTGTCATGTTTCGTGAGAATATTTTCCATATTTCACTCAAACGAAAAAATATCCTCTTAATATTTGACATTGCTACACAATTCTTTGTAAAGGTCAAATTAACATGTTTTGTGTATATACAGTATGCATACATAGTGTTATTAAAACTGGCAGGTTTTTTTTAAGAAATGGCCAACTTTTCTACTAGTAATTGGTAATGCAAGTTTGTGTATTCTATTATTCAAATTAGACATAATTAGTAAGAATTTCATGTACTTAGATTAATTTCTGAAAGAAATATTGTACTATAAGATGAGCCAAGTATATCTTTAAAATATGCGATCATAATGGTAGTATGGTGGTAAAACAGTATATTCAGTCAAAATATACAGAAAACATACAAATCGTTACATATGCATTTCTTATAACCTACCATGTTTTTTTTCTAACTTTAAAAAAAGATATAATTATGTACACACATGCTGTACACTTATCTTGAGGCGTGAAGCTTTTAAAAACCTACTTTGACTTCCTCTATATGACATACATTATTTCTAACTGGTCATAAGTCTCGTTGATCTTTGATTAGTTTACTTTTTTTCTTCTTATTTTATGATGCAAGCTATTGTTGATACAAACTTCCTTTTTGCTCATAAGGAAAACACTTAAGAATATGTTTGTCGTCTTTTCTTTCATTATTTTATATTATGACAAGATCTTTTAATGGACTTAGTCAAATTAAAACGAAATGGATTATATTTGTGTGTTGCTAAGTTTATTTCTTATTTTACCAACAGTCGGTAATTATCGTTTATTTTTTTTTATTTCCTAGTTGAAAATATGTTTAAAATTTGTTTTATTTTTGTTGTTGTTGTTGTTGTTGTTGTAAATCATATTATACCTCATTCTGGGGACGTATTCACAACTGATCTTAAGTTATTTCTTAAGTTAAAACATAAGTTGAAAAAAAATCTTAGCTAAGAATTTTTTTTATCTTAACCTTAAGTCATATTCAGAAACTTACTTATTATATAAGTAAAAATTAGCCAAGATTTTTCTTAAGTTTAAGAAATATCTTAAGCAGTAAATATTTCACTTAAAAAAATCTTAAGTTGGTTGCTAATGAAAGTGGGTTTTCCGTTACTAAAAAAAGTAACGGAAGTGCTCTTCAATGTCTAAAATTAAAACCGGATGTTTATACGCTGTCAAATCGAGCTGAAAACATGTCAAAGTATCATATAAAACTAAAAGATGTAGATTATGTGGAAGGGATGGCTTCATAAATTATAAAATTAAAATCTATATCTAAGAAAACTATATTAAGTTTTATAGCCTAAAAAGGGAATCAACTTGGGGGAAAATGGATACTCCATATTAAGTTTCATAGCCTAAAAAGGGAATATACTTGGGGGGAAATGGATACTCAATTTATGTTACTTGTCAAAGTCATGGCCTATGTATTGGCAAAACTCTATAGCACATATAAGATGATTGAACTTGATGGGGTAGGCTAGCCATTACATCACTTGAATCTTAAAGGATAAAAAAATAATGGAGGGGAGTGCAGAAGAGGCCTCAGTGAAGTGACTTGCTTAAATTTGTATAAATAAGTGTATGAAGCCCATGGTAAAGGTAGAACTTATTAATGCACAGAAAGTTTAACCTAGTACAGACAGATGGCTAAACTTTCATTATTTTTTTTTTATTTATTTTTTTTTTTGAAATGTTGCAATTTTAAAATAATACAAAAAGAAGGCATTTAAATAACATTTCATGCTTTTCAGCTTTTGTGCGTCTAAATGATAAATCACTGAGTGCGTAAACAAGTCAAAAGTTGTTATAATTTTTATTATTTATTCCCTTTTAATTGCATTATCAAAATGTAAAACTTTACATGAACAGTTTTTTTTACATCACACATACATGTTACAAGGAAATACATATTCAGGAGCTGTGACCAAGTATATAGCCAATGCTTTCTATTTCTGACATTTATGAAAGTGCTTTTACTGAAGATTGTTTTTATACACACTGAAAACTGCCGGCGTAGTAGTTTAGAACATTAAAAGGTATGCAAGTTTATATCTCCAGTTCTGCAGTTTTGAATATGTTCTAATTGATACAGAAAATTTCATTCAAATGCTCACAAATTCAAAACAATTTTATGAAGAGCAGTGCACTCCAGTTATCCCATTGCTTATCTGGAAGTAAACTACATATTTTCTACAAAAATAGATCATTTGAATAAAATCACATCGACCTTGACCTTTGACTAAAGCAGGCTGTCACCACGTTTCATGATTGTGTTCTTGACATAAAAAATCTTATTAAAAAATATTAACAAAGGTCATTGTGACCCATCACCATGACCTTTTGACCCAAAATGAGTATCATGGCAGGTACATCTCATCATAATTAAATCTGGTACGTACGATTTGTAAAAGTCTGAAGTTCCTCAGTAAATGCTGATTTAATGGCTAGTTTTATGGTTATCACAAATCCCAGTGACTTTTACCTTTTGACCTGAAAATGAGGGATGCAGGTTAAACTCATCAATGTTCATCCACATATAAAGTTTTGATGTAATAGATTTGTAAGTATTGAAAGTTTATGTCTATAATAAAAATTAACAACACCAACAGGTCAGTCATGATAGTAACATTCCTTTTTGTGGTCTTCTACAAAAAGTGGAGCTGATAATCTTACTGAAAAATAATACTAGGAAGTGTTAATTGTGATCTTAATTCATACAGTTTTTTTTCCGTGAATGAAATTTTCTTTCATTAAGATCCTTTTGATAGTCTTCAAGTTTCTCACAAGTTAGAATGTTTGTGTGTTTTCCGATGAAAACATTGGACCAATTCTTCTTGCACATTATCATTTATGAACACAATCGGCAGTGATAGATTTAACATTTTATCACACAAGTTGGATAATGACATATCCTGCATAAAAGTAAGTATCAATAAGGCTCCATGAAGATGTACCTAGCTACGAATCTTTTGGATTACTTGTGGTCTTCTAGAGTTTGAATTCACTGATGTGTTCCAGTGTTTATAATATGTTTTACATGTATTTAATGTCCGTGATTTAAAATTGCATCAGGTGATATTTGAAGTTACATGAGCTGTGAACATTATGGTAGTATATAGTCACTACACTTTAATTCCAATTCATTCTCCATGTATTTGTTCAATGAAGCAGTGCTTAGTCAGCAGCATATGTAACATTTGCTATTATGTTCATATTTTTATTCTCCATACTTCTGTCAGTCTAAATGTCTACAAAATCTGAGGTTCATGAATAGTTTGATATCATCTTAAAATAAAGAAAAGAAAAATTGCTAAAAAATTATAGGTACATAAATCAAAAATGCAGTTTTAGTTTTAAGTTTTAACTGAATATAATTCAAACAAACAAATTTAGCATAATTATGTTGTCACTTATTTAGGTAGTTATAAAATATCAACAAATGTCTAAATCATTGGTAATAAAATTATTCATCCCATAACAACAAACCCCACTTTTAAAATTTAAATGAGATTTCCTACCACACATGTGACAATTCACTACAACTCAATTGTTATTAACAGAAAGATATTATTATATTTGGTTAACTGTCTAACCATGAACAACACTGCACAACACAACTTTGTGTTCAATAACCTTGAAAAGACAATATGACAATAATGGTATGTGTCTATATTTGGCAGTGTTTTGAACTACACGTATGAAATCTTCCTAGATTTGAACTATCTCCTTTATGAAAATCTGGGCTAATTCTGCAAAAATCCATGCAAGAGTTATAGACCTTTGATAATGATCTCCAATTTAAATCCTGAATATTAAGTTTTAAGTGAATACCTGCAGCAGTTTTGAAGATTGATGTAACATACAATTTTTTCAAAACTAACAAGGAATTTCTAATTCAAAAAGGAGTATAATTCTGGCAAACTCCATGCTAAAAACTTAAAGTTATGAGCCTTGGATAATAATCAACTATTATGATCCAAAAATGTGTATAAAGTTTCAATTAAAAACCCCCAGTAGTTTTATTTGTTGATGGTGCATGGAAAACTTTACCTAAATTAGGCTGATACCCCAGTGTCACTTAGCTTAAAATGTCTGAATTTTGTAAAACCTATCTTAAATATACTATTGAGATTTAACCAACATAGTAATACTCATTGAGCTGTTCATCCCATCATAAATCTATTTTTCTTTGAATTTCCTGTGTTAGATTGGGCCGCCTATGTTTTCTTGCTTTTTATGACTGCCAACATGCCCCCTTTATGTATTTAAGCAACAAGAACCTTTTAGTAAAAGATGAGTTAAAAACAATAAAACATTCATATGAATTGTTTTCATTTGACAGCAGCATGATTTCTAAAATCGCACTTGATTTAAACTGATTATGAGTGTCACATGACCTATTATGAGTTTACGGCTCGGGGCCGAGAACTTGTTAGCAGTCCGTTGAACATGTGCACAAACTGGAACAATGACGTCATAATTTACATCATCAAACAGTTAATGTAAAAGTAGATTTTAAGAACGAATCACTTGATTTAATTATGAGAACTTAAGCGTATTTCATACAAACACAGTTTTATTGCGATTGAAATTTAAAGAAATAATACGACAAATTCATTCAGAAAAAAAAATGAAAACAAAACTTGCTTCAAGATTCTACAGCAGTGTACTTTGAACACACTAAACAACTCTGTAGTAGTTACTGTACTGTACAGTACTGAAGCTTTAGGGGCTGAAGCTTTTGGGGCCATTATTCATTTTGCGAGCCGATTACCACATTCCGGCCCTACTCTGCCGTGTATTAATCTCTTTATAATATAGATGGCTGAACATCATCGGTAATATTATTTAAAAAAATATGTATGTTCATTCTTTGTGAAAATGTAATAAGATCTGAAAATTACTGACTTCATCATTGCATTTATCTATTATTGAATAACTACTGTAAAGCAAGCCACAACAGTGCGAATAGGCTAGAGGTGTGTGACTTACATAAAGCCAAATATTTGGCATGCAGTACGGGCCCGTATGGCTACCCACTTGCTAAATACAAGGAACATTTTAATTTTTATTTCACAAATATACGATTACCAAGAGAAACATTTTATTAATCTTTTCATTTCTTAATTTTGATAACCTAAATGATGATTAAAATTATTATTCGAAAGTGGGGCGAATCGTCGCTAATCTGAAGTGAATCATCAATAAAGTTGGGCGAAAGTTATGGGGCGAATCATCAGTGGGGCAAATCATTATCAATTCAGTACTTTTCAAGTTTTCAATAAACACAACGGTAATACAGAACATTATCAATTTGTATATGTAAATTATTTTCAATTGAAATAATCCGCTTAGAGCATTACAAGTTGTAGCTAATCCGCACTTTTAAGTGATAGTGTCATTAGTGATTCTCGCGAAAACCAGTGACATTCCAAGTTAACACTCGTAAGCGTTTAGCGCTTATGTTTTTTGTCTCTAAGAACAACACACAAACCTACATTTTACATTTTTCTTTGCAAAAATATTTTCTTTACTAGTACTTACCAGCAAGAAACTGACGATCATTCTCCGGTTTGTGAAATGAGCGTCTCCGTTGCGTCTTCAATTTTTGCCAATTTAACTCCCTTGTTTTACTCACATAAATCGTGTGTATAAATTTCTTTGAACGAAATCATTATTGCTGTAATTATTTGCGTTGATTACCCCCATTGAAATATATAATACCAGTTAAAAACGCAAGTTTTCAATTGAATCGACGATCTACAGTCCACCATTTTTAAGATAATTTACTGCCAAGTAAAGAAATTTCTTAACTTTAAGATAGAGTAGTAGCTGACTTATATTTAAGACAAAAATTGTCCATCTTAAGACAAAACTTAAGATAAAAACAGTTGTGAATACCACTTAAGTAAATTGCGGATTCTTATCTTAAATTTAAGAAAAGTTCTCAAAATATAAATATAAGAAAAATCTTATATATATAAGTCAAAAAATTAACTTAAAGATCCCGTAACACAATTTTTTTCATGGTTTCATTTCATAAAAACGATGCTTAAATTAAGATTTGTCAATATCATAAGTTCCAATAAGCATAATTTATAAAGATATTACCGAATTTAACATTTCATGTAAATAAAGAGAGGTAATTAGAAATTTATTTTTTATAAATTCTCAGTCAAACTTTCCAATAAGAAATGAATGCATATATTTTTTTTATTAAATATAATGTGCACACATATTTGCAGTACACATTTTACATCTTCTTCGATATTCTAAAACTGTTTTATTTGCATAATTATATACATATATAAGTTTTTGCAATTGTGGTATACACAGAGATTATGGGGCCTCCGTGGCCGAGTGGTTAAGGTCGCTGACTTGAGATCACTGGTCCCTCACCGCTGTAGGTTCGATCCTCACTTGGGTCGAAATCTTTCATGTGAGGAAGCCATCCAGCTGGCTTACGGAAGGTCGGTGGTTCTACCCGGGTGCCCGCTCGTGCCTGATATAATGCCCGGAGGGGCACCTGGGGTCATCCTCCACCAGTAAAAGCTGGAAAAAAAGTCGACGAAAAAATCTCGGCGGGACGCTCTAGGATGGCCCGACTTGAGTGTACGGTCGCCCATATGGGCTTTCCGGCGGCGACCTTAAATAAACGCATAAAAAAAAAAAAAAAAAAGGTATACACAGAGTGACAATATCCATCACAAAAAAAAGAATCTTTAAGATCCAGTTGTAAATACGGCCCCTGAGAAACACTAACGAGATAAGATATATATGTCACATGATACATATCGCGAATTTATTTCTATACATGATTATAAATAAAGAATGAGAATAGAATCTAATCAAGCGTGCTGATTTCACATTCAGATTAGGTATATACATGTTGCTTGTATTGTTTCTAATTAAATAATGCTATGCAGATTCCAACACATGTCCGTCCGCAAACGGTGTTCATGTCTTTGGAGATAGATGTGACTTCATGTGTCATTGTAAAAATAATGAACAATGTGACAGAACTTCCGGTGGATGCTCGTCTGGCTGTGATAAAGGCTGGTTTGGACCCGGATGTCAGTACAGTAAGTATATTTTACTACAATAAAATTGTAAGAATTTCTCATATTTGATAATTATACATACATTTGTTGCGTTCTTGGTCTTGCTGTGGTTTTGTCCGGAATTCTGTTCCACCATCGACTTTTAATCTTAAGGGACTAAAGATAATCGATGTCATTTCTTGATAAAATTACACAACAAAAATTAGAAAAGTAGAAAATTTGAATTTATGCACACTTTAAGTGTCAGGCTAAATTTGATATTTGAAGATTTAAAAATTGTCGGTAGTATTCCCCTACAGAAACGGCCGCGAGGAAAATGATCAGTTTCCATTCGACCTTCCATCTGTACCTATGTCCTACATTTTCATCCAGTGTTGAAGGCAATTTGAGATTTAAAACTTTATACCAGGTAATTTGACAATTTGAAGTTCAATGGACAAGAACAACAATTCTACATATAATAGATTTTAAGAAATTGCCCTTTGTTTTTGTTTTTTCATCCGAAGCATCACTAGAAAATATTTGAGGCAACCAGCTGAAACTTCATAGGTATGAAAGGTGCAGTGCATAAGAATGATAAAAATAGAGGTTACATAACTCAAGCTCCTTCTATGTGGAGCAAAAATTTTGCGATCGCTGTTTTCACCAACCAAAATTTTGTAACTGAGTTTATTGTCGGGCTCAAAAACATAAACCCACGTTTCATCCCCTGTTACAATTTCTCTCAATCTCTCAATCGTCTAAGGTCTAGATCTTTGAACCTAGTCAGTTAGGACCCACTTACTTTTCTGGTCAGGAGTTAGCAAATGCGGGATCCAACGGGCAATCACAAAAACTCAAGAACATTTGAAAACTCGAGTATAAATCTGTTAGCAGGTGTTTTATGTTTGCAATTTTGCATGATAGGTAATTATGTATGGAAAAGATGTAGACCAGAAATAAACAGGTAAATACTTGCAAATTGGCAAATCATTTGGAATTTTTACTCAAAACTACCAGATTTTAAGGAAGAGGCGATAAAAATGGCATATGGATTAATTTGTTGACACATAATAAAAGATGTAAGGCAAGCTTAATTATTGAAGTTTACTTTAGCTACTTAAACCCACTTGTAAAAGATGAAAATTATCAGGATTGGTGTGTGTTTTTGTAGTTAGTACAAATGTTTCCGACGAACTCCTTGACAGTTACCAAAAGAACTCCTGGACAAGTGATCATAAGAACTCCATCCTTCGTGTAACAGTTCCTCCCCCGTGATAATGGTACGACCAATTAATGTAGACGTTATCTATACAACCAATATACAAAACCACATGATTGTATTTAAATTTTATTGACGTGCAAATCGTGTTAAAATGGACTGTTAGACAAATCGATAATCTTCCCAACGGTATCGTACGTGCAAATCATTCTTAACTTGATTCGTTGCCAGTTATTAAAATATGCCCCTCGTATACGTGTTTATATAGTGATTTTTATATATTGTTTAATTAATCTGGTCGTAATTTGTTATCATCTCACTGATTTCAAATATTGTCAGCTTTTTTTGTCAGCTTTATTGTCAGTCGCTTATTATCTATCTCGTTTCATAGGTAAAAATGAATGTGTTTATCTTTAAACAACTATCTTTCATGTAATAGATTTTAAGTGCTGGGCCAAAATTTCTATTTTTGTTTTATGTTTTTAATTTTTCTATGGGTATTGTTTGCCTAAGATAATTTCAATCAAAACTGAACGTGAAATCGGCATAAATAAAAGATAAACTAGACTTATTTTATTTTATTGTCATTTTCTTAGTGCATGAAGCCTTCATGTTTTACTTGGACTTACGTTATATTGAACTTTAAAAATCTATATACACATGGTGTATGTACATATATCATCTACCGTCCATCTTCAATATCCTTAAAAATCTCAGAGAAGCTGGTCTTCAAATATAATTTGTTTATTCATTACAAACTCTGTACTTGCTTAAAAAGTTGGTCGATGTACTGCAAAAGTAAAAATATTTTTAGATACCATTATATGCACGTCGTTACAGCAGGTCAATGTCAAATCATCCTCAGTACCAGGGATGATAATGTTAACATACCATTTTCAAAACAGGGATGGGCATTAATTTTTTAGACAATCAAATCCATACAGTTGCCCGAATGAGAAAAAGAACAAAATATCGTGACTTAAAGTTGAAAACATATCTTGTAAAAACTGATTTAAGTCTGAAGATTTTTTTTCTTTTGAAAAAGTTATTTAATTGCAAAAAAGATCAATTCATAGTATAACGGTGACATGGTTAAGATACAAAATGTAACTTAAATATAAACAGTGAAAATTGTTAATGAATACAGAAAGCAAAATATATACATAAGTATATGCACTGAAAAGAAAACACTCATAAATAAACAGTAGCTAAGCTATAAAAACACATAAACAGTACAGTGATGAATTAAAATAATAATTTCTTGTTAAGATATATTACAAATAATTGTTATTAAAAGTAGCAATGAAGACTTTTTACATCTAAATTGTTTTTTTCTTTCTTTGTCAATCTCATTTCTTTGTTGGCATTTATGTCATATCTTTATTACTGTTATAATTGGTAACATTCAATTTTATTTTCTTCGAAATATGTACTCTTTCTAAAAGTTCCTTTATTTGGTTTATAAAATAACACACATACGTAGCTGCCAACACAATCGAACTAAATTCGTATTAACTAAACCAAGGTCCTACTATTTGTAATAATTATATAATTCAAAGTATTTATTATAATGTAATTTCAGATATAGATTTTATCTTTTGTTTTGATTTTTTCATTGTAAGTAATATGATAATGTTGTTGTTTTGTTGTTGTTTTTTGTGTTGTTGTTGTTTTTTGTTGTTGTTTTTTTGTTTGTTATTTTTCAATTTTTCTATTTGATCATCTGTGATTCATTCTTGAGCAAGTTAGTATGCTTCGCATTATTTTTGTCCATTATTCTGAGTGCATCAAAACTATTGTGAGTTCTAATTGTAATGTTGTTTGATACCTAAATTTAGGCTGTAAACAAACCAAACAAAGGTCTTCATTTTTTATATTTGATTTCACCGGATGTATATGATTTTTCTTGTTCTTTAATTTTAATATATTGATTAACACTAACACATTCTTCAAATTTCCCTTATAAAAGGAAGAAAAAAAGAAAAAATAGAAAAAATGACAACAACGTATGTCTTAGTCGTACATTAAGATACTGGTACAGGTTTTACAGCATTGAAAGATATTTTAGCAATAAATTAAGGACTCATGTTGAAACAATAAAATCCAGACTTCATTTGAAATCAGAAAATAAATTCATTTATCAAAACCTAAGTTAAAACTTAATTGACATAGAAACCACATGTTGGTTGTTCTTTTATTCAATTATATTGATTAACACTACCACATCAAATAAAGAAGAAGAAAAGATAAAGGACAAAAACGCATATCTTAGTCATACATCAAGATACTGGTGCAAATTTTACAGCATTGACAGATATTTTAGCAATAAATTAAGGACGAATGTCGAACAATAAATTATGGACTTAAGTTGAAATCAGAGAATAAATTCATCTATCAAAGCAAATTAAAACTTAATTGACATAGAAACCACATGTCGGGATATATGTATTATAATAATAATAATAATAATAATAAATCACTATATTTTGTTTTCGTTTCGTCCGATTCCATATGTCAAACAAAAACACTTTATATCGATGCTATTCTATGTCAGTTAGAACAAAATAATTTCTAACACACCATAAATAATTAGTTCCCTAAAAAGGCATATATTTGGCATGTAAAAAAACAAAATGCTATAAATCAGTTTGAATATATTCGATATCTTGACTTTAACGTCTATATATCCTTTATCTACCTAGTTTGATAGGTAGAATATAATACATTGATGTAGTCACTGTAATGTCCAGGATTGAGAAACTTTTATAAATTATATCACAGTGATTTTTATATATAGGAGATCTAGCTGCGGACGGTAGATTTTCACAAAGTTCTGCACATCTTGCAACTGACGGAAACCTAGAAACTTGTTATGAGACCAAAATAAAAAATAAACCAGCCTGGAAGATTTCGTTTACTTCAATCGAGACAATTACAGAATTACATTTAGTAACTAAGTCCGACACATTAGGTTAGTTGGTATGAATTTATCATTTTCAATTTTATTCTACAAAATGAACATAATAAGAAAACATGGTAAATAGTAGATATTGTAACCAAATTCGATTATTAAATGAAAATGCAAGCATATCAACCATTTAATAATGAATCCTGTTTATCAGTATGCATTTATATTTTGAAGGTTCATATTTATCAATGTGATTGACATTTTTCATGATTACAGAATCGTAATATCACCCTTCATCATCTGTTGCCTTTTTTTTCAGAATATTTTGAGAACTTTAAAGTTCTTGTACAAAATAGATCAAACGAAGAAAAAGAGAAACAGGAATGTTACAAACATGCAGGAATAGCTCCGAAAAGCAAACAGTTCATTGTTCTTTGTTACAGTCGATTAGTTGGAAACAAAGTAACGATTAAGTTGACAAATAACAATACACAGTTGGTCATATGTGACGTTAAAATAAATGGGGGTAGGTTTGTTTGTTTGTTGTTTTACATTGTTATCCAACATATGATAAGCCACGATTTGAGTAAGATGCGTATTGATATTTTTATATAATACGAAACAAAGTAATTAAACTTGCTTGTGTTCAAAAATGTAATGAAATAAACATGCCATGAATTACATAAAAGGACTTCAGCAGCTAACTATCACAAGGTAAATGAAATCGTATTCACGTTATAACACAAAGTTTGGGCTGGTTTAAACATATTTATTTAAGCTCGATTGCAAATAAGTTCTCGCAACTTACACTAATCACTTTCGAGTCCGCTTCCAGGAACAAACCAGTACTGGTTTCCTATGAAGAAACATGATTTTGGCGTGCATGTGTATGTGCATGTCAACGTTTTTTCCATACGAGCATAGTTTATACCTTTAAATATTATACACCAACGTATAAAACGATACATAATAGTGATGGATCTGTTTTGGTTGGTCCAAATGTTTTACAAAATGTGTATTTTGTAACGCTTATTAAAAACATTTGGATGATTTAATTTATCATATTACTCGTATAATGTTGAAAAGTTACAACGAAAATTATGACGTATTGTCTGATTTTATCAAATTGTTAGCAATGCGAACATTATAAAGCTCATATGTTTATTCCATGTCTACTTTACGAGAATTGATCTTGATTTTCTTTCATTACTTGTAATATCTATACTTAAACTTGCATATAAAACATAGAAGTTTAAATACCATAAAATATTTAATACAAGACATTTCCTTTAAAATATAGTTGGTAGAAATAAACAGATCGAAATGCAGTAATGTTTAAATGGTAATATCTATAAGGTCATATTGACGCTTTGTCGCCGAAATTATGTACTTAGAAAATGCTATTTATTCAGATTTTTTCTTGAAGTCAGAAGCATCCCCAAACCATTGATCATTTTTTAATCTTCGAAATGATATAGATTACTAAAAGCCCTACGTAGTTGCTAATAACAAGTACAACCGACAATAAAAAGAAATAAAAAAGAAATTTCTGAAACATAACATAATTTCTTTCGTCGGAGTATTGTTTGGTCTATAAACCTTTTTTTATTATTGATAATATTAAATAGTTTTGACAGCTTTTCCAACAGCTACTGACCAGTAAGTTGAAGTTGAAAGAACCCAGAATTGAAATTACACCTAAATAGTTAAATCACTGACAGTATCTAGTAGACTTGTATCGTAAGATCATGTTTTAATCTCCCATACATCATTAAATTTCCTCTCTTTAAAAAATATGTTTTCTTAGTTTTACAAATAGAGTAATAGATTATAAAGATTCGACTATAACATTTCAACTGACTTTCCAATTATAACCATATCGTCAGTAGTCAATAAATCAAGCAACGTCAAGTTACAATTAATTGTAACTGACATCATAATTATTTTGATATTGTTCTAGGTCTTCCAGAAAAAGAGCAAATGAAATAGGTGAATTATTTTATTCTTGTCTTAAATGAAAATATGTATCTATTTAAAAAGTATTGAGATAAATGTAATACTTAAGGTTTACTCATACTTTGACTTGAAACATAATTAGCTTGAATGGTGAAATGATGTGTTAAGTTTAGAGAAAATCAATGAAAACTATCGTATCATTATGTCTCTCAATATTCCGTCTGTCTGTCCATCAGTCTGTCTGTCTGTCCACGTTAAGGTTTCACGGCTTTCACAGGTCAACCTACTGGAGGGACTTCAACCAAACTTCACAGTATCGATCAATACCAACCATATGTGTGCATATCACCGGCATGTTCTACTTCGCTGTTTAAAATAGCCACCAGAGCTATAAATAGAATAATCCTATCCGTCTTTCACACGTCAAACTGCTGGCGGGATTCCGACGAAACTACACTGGATTAATCGGTATTCACCTTAATTGTGTATATTGTAAGCTTCTTCTGCTTAACTGCACAAAATGGTCACCAGAACTGAAAATGGAAAATCTTTATGCAGCTTTTAAATGTCCAACCACCGGTAGGAATTCAACATAATTTCAAAGGAGTGATCAATACCCATCATATTTACCGTTTTATCCAGTAGCACCGAATTTGAAAATAACGCACGATTCGTGCAATTAGTAACGCAGAATTGTGCAATAAATGGCGGATACCTGACAGGACAAACGCTGTAAGTAAACTGGCCAAAATATTTTTTATTTAACCGATTAACTGAAAAAATAGGAAAAACCGCACACGGCTGCGAAGACAATACTCTTTATCCCTCATCAAGTTTATTTCCATGAAATTGTTTACTTTTCAAGATCATTCGTGAAAATGATGGCTTGACAATGTTTTGAGCGAAATTTTTTTTTGTCGACTCTTATAAGTACAACAATGCATATTATACCGCATAATTTCGATTTTCGGTAGGCAAGTAACATAAACCTAACTTTTGGTGACATAGAAAATTGATAATAATCTGATAAAATGTGATTCAAGCCGTTTTCATTAGGTAACGCCGATGTACGTGAACTGTGCTTTGCTGTGACGCCGGAAAAAAAATCATATATGGTAGAAAATTTTTACACAGGTTTAACGCCGTTTACCGGCGAATATAATCAATTTATTTGCGACCTAGTTCTCTGCGTAACTTATTAAGAAAAATATGAGAATTAGATCTTGACAAACTTTTAACATTTTGATTGCATATTGTAACTCAATACAATTTGACAATGTTTTCCTGAAATAAATTATTATTTGCAAACATTTTGCCCACGTCTGATCTTGTTACAAAAAAAAGAACAATAAACTTCTTTTGCAAATAGATTGAATATAAAAATAATAGGAAACAATCAAGAGAGAAAGTGTCTGTATATTTTATGCCTGAAATAATGCACCAGTAAAGCTTGAAAGTCTCCATGTGTCCTCTATTATGTTGGCGTGATGACCCAACCAAAACAAATATTTGACTGTAGCAATTTCCCTGGTGAACTTCTGTGAAAATGGATATTTATTTAATTTATTGTTTCTCTTATATAAGGAAGTACCTTGTATTTAAAAGATATTTTACTTTGAAACAATAATGCCCAAAACTTGTAAAAGCATAAACATATTGTCCTCTGCTAAGGATAAATAAATCATAACCCTTGTGGTAAAGATTTACCCTACTCTTTGGGCCACTAGTACAGAGCCAGGTCACATCCATACAGAGTGACCATTTGCTCACTTAGGTAGCTCATTTGTTCAAATACAATAAACATCTAATACCAATCTCATGAACTGTTCAAAGTTCACAGCTGAGCAAAGCCATTTCTTAATATTACCAGGTAAAGGGTGAATAGACTAAAGATAGGTTGAATAATTATTGTTTCTTAGAACTTTTTCTAGGGTAGTAAATTTTTTTTATATGTTCGTACACGAATTTTACTCTTGCATCATTGATTTTTGTACTGGGTGTGTGCCTACCCCTCAAATCTGTTCCTTGAAATGTACCATTTGTTTTTCTTTTAAGAGTGTACCGTATCAGCTTCTCACCAATATCGAGAGTTTTAAGAAAGAACTTCTGGCAAACACGGATGCTTTCTTCTCTTTTGAAAAAAATGGATTTCAACGATACTTTTCTTTTACTTTTAGTGCTTCTAACCGGGTCGCTTTTCGATACAGCAACGCAAATAACACAACGTAGCCTCTCATAAGTTGGAAGTGCATAATACATTTCACATATATTTTTCTCTCTGTTTCTGTGAAGTTACTGTTCCATTTGAATCTTCATTTAGAGCAGTCACTTGGTTTAACTCCTTTTCCTTTCACTGTTTTACCCGATTTTGATTTGCAAGATTTTCATTGCAGTTTTTTTCTTTTACGTACAGGTGACTGCCACTCTTTTTCATTTTATTTTATTTTCCGGATTGTTAGCGTCTGTTTAGGGCTGTTATAGTCTGCACGTTTGTGTGCTGTAACAGGTTTTCATTACCACAATGTTCCATTGAATTAACTCTTGGTGTATTATCAGGGGGAAGTTCAGTATTGTCTGGTTGTATAATTACTGGTTTGGTTGCATCATAATTGTCATTATTCCAGAATGCAATATACGCTATTTCAATTTGATGGTTATGTCCATCTTGTTTCCAGTTTGATGGCTTAACATTAATAAATGGAGTCGAAGTCGAGCTTGAATATATCCGCACTTCACAATTTAAGTAGTAAGCAACAGCTATAGACATGCAATCGGCTAGAGTTGTATCCCAGTGACCATTGCGTCTCATAATGCCTTTATCTCTTTCAAAAACACCACTTTGATTCTCGCTTTATGATATACTTGTCAAGAAAGATAAGTATATGTCCTTATTTTGTTGAACGTGATCACATAGCGAATTTCGAAAAGTATCTACGTCCTTACATAAATTGTTGTTAACACTTTCAGCAACAGCTGCAAAGAAACAGTTTCATTCTGCGGGAATTTAAACTCGTTTTCTTATATTAACTGCTAACAGATGGTCTAATCTAGCCTCATGCAGTCGATTTAACCGTGCCTTAAGTGATGCAATTGTCTTGCTACACTTCAATGCTTTTTTTAAATTCATCATGTGTTTGTAAGTTTCTTGATTTTTTTCTTCTTTCTTTTAAAAGTTTTATCGATCTTGTAGGGGACTTTAACAAGTAATTTGTTTCCTTTTCTTCTGTCTCCTTTTTCACTGTTTTATTTTTTGGAACTCTTCTGTCTCTGAATCTGTAGAATTTAATATGTTCTTTTGTAGACCATATGATATGTCCTGATTACAATCATCAGAATACTCAGTATCTGTAACGATTAACATTCGCCGAACAGACTTCCTTTCTTTTCCTTTAAAATTATAGTCCAGTAACTTTGAAAGTGGTATATCGTCATCAGAAGAACTTAATTGTATGATGTTGGGCGTCTCTGTGAAGCTTTCCATTGATTTCATTTACGTTTTGTCCGCTGCTGCTATCCTGTTTTTCATGTTGATTCAAATGTTGTCCCTTGTTTTTGGTCTGCTTTTCATGT